AGCCTGCCCGCTGTGGGGTTTCAGGATGTCCTCAAATTAAGGGGGGTCAGCTCATTGCCTGCTGGTGACCCCAAGCCAAGGGGGAGGATGTCTCCCAGCACCTTTCGGCAAAGGGTGCAGGGTGGCATGGGCAGGGGATGAAGCACTGGAGGTCTGTCTGTCTGCGTGCTGGTCCCCAGGGAGCTGGGCATCGGGGCTGCCTGAGGCTGGGGTCTAGCTCCCCCCCCCAACACCCCCAGCCCCCCAGCTCACCAATGGGGAGCACTGGAGCTGCACCTTGGTGGGACACACCCCGACGGGTGGCAGGGCCAGCTGAGATGCTTCCTCGGGTGATGCAGGGACTTGGGTCAAGGCAAGGCAGGGGTCCCGCAGGAGCACCCAAAGGTGCCCACAAGTCCCATGGGTTGGATCAGGACCTGGCAGGCACTTGACATTCCCTCCACCTCGCTTGGGCCCCTCTCTGAGTCTCTGAGCCATCCTGCAAGGACAGGGCAGCCAGCAAGCCCTGGCCCCTGGTCCAGGCCCCCTGCCTGTGCCTGTGGGCAGCCCCAGCTGCCCGCACTGGCCCCGGGCTCTGCAGTGCTGTGGGCAGGGACAGCTGCCGTGCTGGCTGCAAGCTGTATTTTTGCTGCAGAGCAGTTTGGCACCCCAAAGCAAACATGTCATATCAACAGGAGGGAAACATTTGCAGGTTCCCCTGCCTGCCCTTTGGCTTCAGTGCTCGGCCGTGCTCTTGCTTGCATAACGGCATGGGGGGGAGGCAGGGCTGGCCCCCCTGGGGCCACTGCATAGCCTGCCCATAAATAGGGGCTTGCCTGACTCTCCAGCACTTCAGCACTCTTCCGGCTCCTCTCGCTTGGCTCGGCTCGGTGGGAGACATGCACGCCATGCTGCTCAGCGTCCTGGGGCTGGCCCTGCTCGGGGCACTGCACGCGCAGGACAGCATTCCCGTGCAAACCGACTTCCAGCAGGACAAGGTGACCCAGCCCAGCCGGCATCACCTGCATGGGGGTTTGGGGTGTTTTGGGGGATCCTCGCCCTGAAAATGTGCGGAGATGGTGTTGCAGGTGGATTTGGGGCCAGGCTGGCCTCGTCACTGGGAGGGGCAGGGCGGCTGGTGCACCCGCAGCACCCTGTCCCTGGGGAGCACCCAGGACCTGGGTTTGGTGGCTCTGGAGGGGATGCAGAATCCAGGCTCCAGCCTGTGAGGCAGGACCAAGTAGGTGTGGGGCTGGGCTGTCTCCTGTGCTGTGGGGTGGGTGTAGATGCGCAGGGATTTTACAGGGGCGACTGGGAAAAGCAAGCTCAGTTTCAGAGGCAGCACGGAGATGGGCCATGGACTCTCTCCTCCCCGAAACAGACCACATCGACCCCCAACCCATGGTCCCAAAAAAACAAGGGCTGCTGTGCTGGGGGATCCCATGCACCCCTCTGCCCTCCCAGCCACTGGGTGCTGGCATGCTCAGGGTGCTTGCACTCCCCTTCCTCCCCCCACGATGGGCAGCACCCAGTGCAGGACAGCCCCAGCCCAGCTGCACACTGGGGTCCTGGCCCCACAGCCCCGGGGTCCCACCGAGCTGGGGCAGGTGCCACGCTGCCTGCTCCTCCAGGCAGCCTCCGGAGGGGTCCTGGGGGACACAGCCACCCGAGAGAGGGTGGGGATGGGGATGGAGGCATGTCCTGCAAGGATGGGGGCTGGCATATCCTGCCAAGGTGGTCCCAGCACAGCCCATGTCCAAGGCTGACAGCACCCCTCTGGGTGTGCTGAGCTGGTGGCCCCCAGGGACCAGGCTGGGATGAGCCGTGCTGGCACCAGGGTCCTGACATGCCCCTGGATGGATACAAATGGCATCTCAGAGCCAGGCTGTCCTGTCGCCCCCTCCCAGGGCTTGGGGTGAAGATGAAGGAAACACCCTGAGTACCGGGCAGTGAAGGGCACGTTGTAAACCAGGGCTCTTCTGGCTGCTGGGTTTTGTGGACACCAAGAGCTGTAGCAGCTCCCTGGGGGACAAGGACCCCAGGATGCCCTCCTGCCACGGGGTGCAGGCTGGCAGGGGAGGGGGAGGTGTCCTGGGCTGGGGTTGACAGGCAGCTGAGGGGCAAGACAGGGTCTGCGCCTGGCTGGCGACTGAGTGGAGGTTGTGTGCAGCTCATGGGGAGATGGTACAGCATCGGCCTGGCCTCCAACTCCAACTGGTTCAAGGAGAAGAAGCAGCTGATGAAGATGTGCACCACTGTCATCTCCACCACCACAGAAGGGAACCTGGAAGTCGCTTCCACCTACCCCAAGTACGGGCATGGGGAGGGGGTGTGTGAGCAGGGGGTGCTCCTCCATCCCAGGCTGGGGTGGTGGGCGCTGGTGCCATACCTGGGGCTGTGTGTGGGCTAGAGCACCTCCCCCCCCAGCCCCTCTGACATCCTTGTGCTGTGCTCCGCAGGGGTGACCAGTGCGTGAAGAGGAACAGCCTTTACACCAAGACGGAGCAGCCAGGGCGGTTTGGCTACACC